ATACACAAGTAACTAACAGAGACATCTAACACCACACTTAATATAGTACCAACTAGCAGAGACATCTAACACTACACTTAATATAGTAGCAACTAACCCAGACATTCATAAGGACAGCCGATTATAATCCCATATTCTAACACCACACTTAGTATGGTACCAACTAACCCACTCTTAATATAGTACCAGCTAACCCAGACATCTAACACCACACTTAATATAGTACCAACTAACCCAGACATACATAAGTACAGCCGATTATAATCCCATATATAAACATTACAAAATTGTCCGGGAAAGGGTAGCCCCAGATATTTCCTTAACTAACCCAGAGTAAGAGACTTCCGCAGTAGTGAGATACCAGTATAAAGAACTCCCCGAATACATGCGACATGCTGATCCACCGGAGTTATCTTAATTTACGCCATAGGCATTGTGTGAAACTCATTACAACTTGATTTTCATTTTCATTTTAATATCTGTTATGATTAAAAGCTTGTGTGCAGTTTCTGAGACTGTTGATTACACTGAAACATCATACGTAGCTTGACGACAAACATGACAGGTGCCCCTCCTGGTATCTTTGTAGATTGCTTGACGACAAACATGACAGGTGCCCCTCCTGGTATCTTTGTATTTTGCCTCTGTATCTGTGGATATCGCATGGACACTGGGTGTTTCTGTATTGGTAATGCACTGCACGTCTTCTTCTTCTTCTTCTTTTAAATCACACATATTAGCCTGGGGATGGACTTCCCCAGCTACATGTATAAGTCTAAACTACCAAGACAATAAGCACAACACATGATAGTTTAGAATGGGCTTCACTGGAAACACACATTTTATTAACATCTTAAAATTATTAGTATTGTAGCAAAATATTATACCACACAAAATTTCCGTTTAGTGTCAAAAAGTGACACACATTTTAATGCGTGTTGTACACATTAGAGCCTGCATTTCTTTTTATGTGTTAAGCATATGACGATGTACATTGTATATCAACACAATGAACACATTAAATGACACGTGTCATCAGTATACAGGCTCCCGCAACGTGATAATGCAGCGCATCACGTGACCTGATCATGACACGCCACAAACGAAGAGGGCAGCCATGGCGTACCTGACAGGAGGAAGGATTTCAGTTGTTAAAACAAGTATGCAAATAAGACGTTTGCACGCATTCTAATAAAACTACGATATTAAATCATGTTTCGTGTTAGACGCTAGTATTGTGAAATAAACCCCGGGTATCGGCGTTGTGTAATCTGAAACAACTTCCGCGTTACCTGGGCTTTAACCAGAAGGTCAAGGTAAAGATAAAATTGTAAACTTACTATAGACAACGTAAATCCCCTTTACACACTCGTCAGCTTAACTTTACAAAACGCTATTGAATGTACTTTATGATATAAACAGTTGTATATATCTATTTGAGTGTGAGCGTAAGGCATGCCATTGGTAATTGAATATATATATTTAAATAATTTTATCATCTTATGTCGACTGATAAGTATTTGACATTTATGACGTACGTCATATAGGGTAAAGTTAAGCTCTGAAAGCTGATCATGGACTGACAACTAGCTCAGAACACAACAATCGATGCGATCAACACGACTTAAGGGCTACGTTTTCCTCACATTTGTTGAAATGTCATTTGAAAGTAAAAGTTCACAGTTATGTGTAACAGGAGACAATTGTGGCACCTTTTTTCATATTCAACGTAAAATAGAAAAAACAAATTACCAGTGTCACCAAAATTGACACGAACACCGGGTACCGCGTCAGCACATATATATATATCAGGACCTCCAATGTAAACACCTCGAAACATAAAACAGGCGATATATTGGTGTTCCGGAAAGGTTTGCGTTTTCTACACCACATGCCTGTAACACCAGTAATGATGTCTCCTCATGACTATAACGCCCGACTTTATTATGATTTCGGTAACGAAGGATCTAATAGAGAGTTAATACGGGAAACAGCTTAAAATCTTATCATGATGATAACTAACTGCCAAATTTCCATCTTATATTGGAAGATGTCCAGTTAACAGCGGACACACATATTAATGCAAATGCATAACATTCTCAGTATAACTCAATCAGTAGGTTGACAAATAAGACCGAGTGAAGGACATACATTTGATATATTAATATTAACACTTTTTTGCCATGCTTAATCAACAAAATGCTAAAAAGTGTGTGTACACAAAATTGAAATTTGAATCTTGTGGAATTAATATGTTCCAATGTTTTTTTTGATAGCATATCTAATCTAGATACAAACGTAAAAACCTTGACTAGTTACCATCCCATAGCCTTGTCCAGACATTGGGAAAGACAACAATCCAGTTGGAACTAGTCAAATGGATCTCGAAGCGAATACAGCTTATATCTGAATGTTATTAATTTTGATATTAAAATATTCTTGTAAGTCTTAATTGAGTTTTTTATGATTGCTTTTAAGATATAACTGTTTTAATTATCAATGTCTAATTTACAAAGCATTACATGTGTTGTACGAAGGTTGAATCTGACCGAGTGATTTAATTTTCAGTGTCATGGTTATAGACTGTGTTTAATACAGCATATATGTAGTATACGTGATTACCATCCTGTGTTATCTTCAGGGCATCTATAGTTTCTTAAGAAATTGTAGAAATTACCTTATATAATTTGCCTTTACGCGATGCTTCATCTGTGAAAGGATCTGCAAGTATTTGCTTTTGCGAAAGGAACAAAATTTGATATCTAATTATTCACAAGATAGCTTAGTTCATGAGATTGTAAAATGAACCGAAATTTATGCTTCTCTTTGTTTGCTTTGATCAAAGTTCACATTCACCAGATATTTATTTCCCCATCATATTTACCCCGAAAAGATACAATTTGCTAAATACACTGTATAAGGATTATACATCACATACCCTATTACACACGTAAACGCTCCTGGTGAGAGAGGTAACCGTGCGTAAATGTGCTTCATGGAATACGTTAAACCCTATTAGCAATTTAGCAGAGTATTATTGGTACGTGAAAGCAGGAATGTTTTAGCATAACAGGCGAAATGGAACACTTAAAAAATAGGATATCCTTTCATATGGGGATTTATTGGCCATAACTGTGTTGAAATATTGAAGGTTTTTTGTTACATTTCGTTTATATATTATTTTTGTTTACTATTTCTCTTTGCTACAACCCATTACAGTTAAAACATATTCATATATTCATGAGGGTAACGTGATATTTCTCTGTCATGGTAATGTTTTTATTATTCAAACTTACACATAAATTGTATCAGTTTACCTATCGCAAGCACATCGACACTTGTTTCTGTTTCAAGTACAATTTGTCTCAGATGCTTGAATGCAGTCCTGAGCTTTGGTAAATATTAGATAGAAATATTGGGGGTACGCTTGTACTAAAAACGCTTAGCGTAATGGTTAAGTGACCGTGTGAACATCCACTACAACATTTGAAATTGAAACACTGCGTAATATATAGAATAAGTCTGCACATAGTGTGTGATGTGTCACCTAAACTGTAGACACGTGCAGCAATACATCGAATTCAAATTGAAAACATCTAATGATCTGCTTGCTAACGTTTTCAGTGGGTGGGCATCTGCTGGTTCACACTTTCAGTGTTTGGACGCTCTACTACTTAACACCTTCAGTGGGTGGACGATTCGCTGGTTCACACTTTCAGTGGGTGGACGATTCGCTGGTTCACAGTTTCAGTGGGTGGACGATTCGCTGGTTCACACTTTCAGTGTATGGACGCTCTACTACTTAACACCTTCAGTGGGTGGACGATTCGCTGGTTCACACTTTCAGAGGGTGGACGATTCGCTAGTTAATACTTTCAGTCGGTGGACGTCTGCTAAATCACACATTCAGTGTGTTGGCGATCTGCTAGTTTACACTTTCGGCGGGTCGACAAAAAACGTAAAACGCACGGAAAACATATTTGACCGATTGACACGAAAAAGTTTGGTTATATAAATTCCTTAGGGATCTTACTGCAAAATAATCCCGAGCTTTGTGCACAATCTGGTACTATCGTCAGAATTGCACAAAGCTGCAAAGACGAAAACTAGAATATTTTCTTTTATCAGTTTACCATAACAAATGCATAACAATGCATGTTACAAAATAAACTTAGCCAAATATTCTCGATAAGATTTTAAGTATATCCATCTAAAAAATTATTTCGAGTATGCTAATAAAAACGAAACTTCCATCGTTTTTGCAGGCAAGTTCCTTTGGAAAAACAAAATCATTGAAAAATCCCACAACTCATGCCACTAGTATGAAGCAGCTTACACAAATGTAGACAGATTTAAATGTGCTTTGGTCTTGCATCTTTTTAGGGTTGTGTACTGAGTAGACGAAGGGTGTAGATAAGTACAAAGTTACTGTAAAAAAGTGTTAGACCTTTGACCCTATATTATTGATCAATTATTTCAATTGATATTTTTTTTATTTATAGGACGGTGAAAAGATGGTGATGAATGAAATGTATTTGAAACGATATTGTTCATTTTCACAGAATGCTTCAAAACTATCTAATAATGTTAGTAATAAATGTTTCAGTCTTTAGGAAGACTATTTAGTGATATGTTTGAGATTCGGATAGTGTTAATGTTCTCGATAGCGAGGACATGTACAGATATATATATTTTAATAGTAATCATGCTTAATTCAGTACAATATTGTGTGTCTTTGACTTATAAAAGTATGTTAATAACCCAGAATGCCAAAGAGAACTTACCACATGTAACTAAATATCTGGAGATGTTTTCCTCCGTATTGGTATAGATAAGAACATAATATAAATAAACGTACGCGTCTGTCTGAGATACCGATACAGGTATACTATACGGGAAATACCTTAATGGTTTTCACCTGTTCTATTTTTAACAAGCGTCCCCCTTGTAACGTATACACAGTAACCATGGCGATTTGCGGAAGCTTTGATTAAGTTTTTCTACCAAAAACAACCGACGCGTTGCATTTCATGAACAACACTCGTACATGCACGTACATGTTTGCTCGTCTGGTCAAGTTAAGGCATGTCTTCCGTTTCTTGGTTCGTCGTCGTTTTTTATGCTGTTATCGCCCAAGGTATAAATAGTTCACAGCCAGACGGCGAAGCATGGGGCATCAGAACGTGCGTCATACAGGTAAGTAAATAACACACTTCAACGGCATTAAACGCTTGCAAATAAATTAATTAATTACAGATATGCATGCAATTGCCAAAATGTTCGTTTTCACAGAGATCACACTACATTGTAACATCATACTATGCTAATTTATTTAGGAAATATGACAAAGTAATGAAATCATTTTTTTTATGTAATAATTTTACAGATTATTATTTATTAAATAATGCCTTGACGGAGACACTTTATACATACAAGAGTTGATATAAATCCAATAGATAATTTGTGAATCGCTTGAGACGACCTAGTTTGTGATAAAGCGGTATATAAGAACCTTGAATTATTTATTATTATTAATATAACACAGGCAATATGTTTTTGTGTCGAAAACCTCATAGTCTAGTCGAAAAATATACTGCATGCGTATGGGACTTTCAATTAGCTCATTTTAGAAAGACAGGACAACATTGTCAGAAAATGTTGTGCAAAATATGAGTTTATTTAGTGTTACTTTGTTTCACAATTAGATAATATGTTATTACAGGGAGGCCAAGAAACTAATTCGAAATTGTACATTAGAACGTAATACTTTGTAACGCAGGTGGTCTATTTCAATGTGAATTATATTTCCATTCAGCAGTGCCATGCATTAGTATCAATGCAAAGTCATAAGGATAGTTCGTATCGAGCATCTATTTCAGTTAAGGACACTCTACATTATAAAGCATATACAAGCAGGATGTAAATATATCTATTGAAACTCTATATTTTAACTACATGTACCACATGTGTTTCCCCTTTGCCCGATCAACTCTAAAGGAGAGACATTATCCGTGATATCTGAGACAGTGTATACAAACCTCTGTAACAACAACCATTTAATGATTTGATAGAACCGGTCGATTCACCTATAAGTTAAGTGCATTTGAATAGATATCAAGGCTTCTAATATTAAGCAAGGGAATTGGTCACAAGTTATACCAGCTTAAAAACACCTCTTCTTGGCAACTAAACAACATTGTGATAGCGACAATTATCACATATATTGTTACATAGCAAACAAATTTAAATTGTTTGAATTTGAATTTAGTTTTATCAATACTGACTTTTTTGTTGTTTTAATTTTGTGGTGAGGTGTGGTGAGTATGGAGGTGGGGTTTGGTTGAGACATTCTGAATCACATACACAGTCAATCAATGAAAATGGGACAAATATGAGAAAAACTAGACAAATGAACATTGATTGTAAAACCGCTGCCTTCTTCACAACTCTGTGTACGTTTCTCCAATGAGATAAATCGTCCAATTTCAATTTAATTACTGCTGTTTTGCGATGATGAGTAGTTAGATGAAAAAAATGCATTATTTTTTTTTACGCTAAAATTCGTTACTTCAAGTATCAGTTCTCGATGATTTGAATGAGAGTTTCATTTAATTCAATATATACCTGTCATTTGCAGTGGCATTCTCCCTGTACTTGGCCTTTTTACCTTCATGTTACACAGGGTATATCGAAGCAACTCTCTTTCCCTCGCTTTCCTATCCTACCCTCCCGTATTTTCCATTTTTTACTCATATACACAACGCAAATATTGCTGCATATTTCTTTTTTCAAAAAGTATAGTCATATAACATGTGGTCCTCAAATCTCGTATGTATTTCTTCAACTGGAGATGAATGTAAAAAATCCTATTTCAACGATTGTTAATTGGTTTATATTGTACTGTAAATGAAAAAAGAAAAAGTATGGTTTTAGAACGAACCTGCTTGTAATAGAGGAAAACACAACTAGCAAATGTCTTCCATTACGAAATAAAAAAGAGTGCAACATGCAGAATATACATTCTTATTTTAAACTCGTATTCTATGGATCACGTGACTGACGGGGTATCTTATCAGCATTAAGTTGATATTTCATAGGTTAATGGTTTGATACGTGTACCAGAGGGACAAAAGACTACCCTTATCCCTTGACCCGCCTCTGTGTTTATATACAACGGTTAAGTCAATATAATGACACTTCTCTGCCACATGTCAACATATTATCTCGAAAAATCAAACAATCATACGTGACCACCGAACATATTCGTGATGATTTCAGTAGATTATTACTAAAATTTGAAGCACTTAATTCACCCCCACCACTCACGTATATAAAAGTAAGAAAAAAATAATTCCTCGGCTGAAATCCTTAATACTGTATGAAAAAAGATAAAAAAAATAAATATAATGCAAGGTTATAATTCGCATTATTAGAACGATATCTTAGCTTCCTTTTAACCTTTTCATATTGATATACATTTGTAGGTTGATAAGTGATTGTATTAAAAAAAATTAAAATCCAGGGAGTTGTGAAGGCCAACAACGAACTAGGGCAGAGTAAACACGTAACTCTCTGGAAACTAAGTCTTGATTCCGATAGTAAGAGTTCTGTGAGGAACACTGAATAATCAAAATTATGTCTATAAAATGTATTGGTTAACAGGTTACACTTTGAAACTGTTATGCTGCTACTGATGAAAAGAAGATTTGTGTCTCATATCAAATGACCACTATCAGTTAAAACATCAGTTTTTATAGATTTCTAATGAGTTTGATATATGGAGTATAGACAATCTAAGGAGAGATTGCGTTAAGCTGATAGTGCTTGGCATACAAATGTAGGTCGGCATTCAAGCAAGCGTAACCATGTCATTGTGCACTGCAGATTGTAATCATCTACAATGATATAATTTCCAACTCACCTCTTTTACTAAAAAACAGTAATGTACTTTTAATAACTATTTTGCTTAACGATCCCTGGGTTTCACAATAACTAAAATAACGTAGTTGTTGTCAATAGGAATTATGATAACTAATCTTCAACGACTATTTTAAATGCTATCTACGGGTATTTTGAATGCTTCTTTTTTTAACAAACATCACGTACTCTATTTCAATCCGGGACGGACTGATAATAATGTTGGATAGCAAAATGTCACGCATATATATCTCCAAGTAATTGTTGTCAGAGCGATAGTGTTACTGTGCAAATGATGATAGCATACCGATGCATACAACAAGTTTAGAGCTATTGGATAATACAATGACTTCATTCAAGTTGTTTTGTATAGGTGTCGGGATAACGCCTGTTATTCTATAAACACGTGTTACAATTCTTTATCTCCCTTTAAAATGTTGTAACAAAAACAATTATCAAGAAAGGAGGTGTTTTTCTCTCTAAAATAAACATATACTGAAACTAAAGTCACCGATGGCAAACATTAGCTTGTTGGTATATGTGATAACATCTAGCGTCCCCACGCGGAGATCCGGGTTGCAAGAGTCTTGAAAACTTGTTCCTTGTCATAAGTGTCATAATCATCATTTCTTTTTCATATTGTATTATAAATTCAAAACGTATAAATCTATATATAGATTAATCCTTATCTTATTGACGGTTTCGCTACGATAGAATACATGTACTGTATCTAAATACATAACATTTATAAGGTTTATTAAATTTCTTTAGAAATAGATTATCTACACCAGGAAGTAATTGAACGAGGAAGAAATTCGAGACGGAAAGTGAAACTAGAAGTAATACACCTACATTACAATAAAGGAACATAAAACTCAATATATTCAAAAACTTAAAGATCAATGCATCAAATCACCTTGGGATCAATACATGCCACTCAACATAAATAGATACAATAGATGAATGCTGAATTGAAGGTATAATTAAATTCCCTTATAAATTGAAAACTAAGCAACTAATAGCATGTTTTGATCGATTTTGGTTAAATCGAGTAATGAACTGTTAAATGATTTTAACTATGAATAGATATCTTATCAACATTCTAATATGATGAACAGATGAGTTTTTTGTTTCCTGACCCATCTCCGAAAACACTCATCTTATTGTATGATCAGTGCGTAATGAACAAAATCAGATCAGGTACTTTTTGAAGCAGTAACACAACATTATATAAAAGATTACAGGTGCTTTTAATAATGCATGTTAAAAGTAGGGTCAAACTATAATCTTTATCAAAATTGAAAGTTGTTTTCGAATAGACCATGCACGTGCTGTATGATTAACGTGTTACATACATTTTGTCTTTCTCGATGGTAACAGTCCTGCTTCCCCTACGTAGGGTATTTCCATTTCACGGGTTTTCTCTGAATACATTTGTATAACGATTTCCTTGATAAATATCAAATACTAACGTTCCTACTTACAAAACAGGGTTCCGAGATATATCGGGTGGAAAAGACTATTGTAGTTCCTTGTGCGATCTGAGAAGTGACGTTTTAGATTATGCTCAATCACATTGAATAAGCAGAAGACGATGAACTTTCAATAACACCTGATCCCGTTCTTTTTGAAGGGTCTCATAAAATTATTCTTTTTTAATAGTTAAAATTAATTAATTTGGTAAAAAGTAAAACACAATCTCTAAAGGGTCCGTCACACCATACCGTTCTGGTCAGCGTTCCACGAACGTTCTCCAGCGTTTAAAGTTAAACATTGAAGAACGCTGGTCTCCATGTGAACTTCAAGTTGTGCATGTTCAAAACTTAATTTTCGGACCAGCGTTCTCCGCCGATCACCGCCGATCACTGACGATTACCAGCGTTCACCAGCGTTCACAGAACGCTCTTCTGGCGCTATACCAGCGACCACGGACGATTACCAACGTTTCCTCAAACGTCATAGAACGCTGACAAGAACGTTATGGTGTGACGGACCCTTAAGGGCTACATGTAATATAGTATCCAATCATTTAATTTTTGAAGTAGTAGTTCTCATTTTCTGTAATTCAAATGTATATACGCTGATTATGAATACAAGAAGGGGTAATGGTCCAACCGCATTCTGAAAGGTACTTTCATCTTTAACCTTCCTGCTGTCTTTCACGTTTCGTATGTTTCTGTTGGAATGTTTGCTCGAAAGAGTTTTTCAGTTTCATGTCAATAGCTCAACTTCCCATTCGTATTCTCCAGGATGAACTCAAAGAAAACGACTATGGATGTCAATCTCAAGAAATTGATACAGAAGGTAATATTTAAACAGTGTTAGACTAACACAGGGATGTGTTTACCTCATAAAGCGTACAGCTTCAAACACTACTACTTAAATACAATTTAAATCATCCGTACACTATACATATGATTTACATTATTTTTGATATGTCAAAATAAGGTAAAATGAATTTATGCCTCTGCATCTGTCGTTTAATAACTTTCAACGTTAGTCCAGAACGGCTTAATACATATTGACTAAATTTCGGATGCAACATCTTTGGGTCAATGAAAATGTTTTGGTATGCATGATACATCTTTCTCTGGGGGCAGAAGAAAAGGGTCAAATAAGGCTAAATATCGAGTAACTGTTTCAATTCATTGTGGGTGAATAGATTCTTATCAACCTCTATTTCCCTATATTGATTCAGATATACAGAATCACTCGGGATACATAGCTTGCCTATGTAAAATGTGATTCTTATAAAAAGTTTGATTATTTTTGTTGCAGACTTTACAACTGTAAATGGTGTGAGTTGTACACCGGAAGTACATAGTGTAAACATCAGACACAACAGAAGTGACCATGGTTCGGTGACAGTGACCTTCTCTATGAAAACACGAAGTTGTCATAGAAATCGTATGTAAACTCAATAAATATTAAAATGACCAACATATCTTATTATATTGAAAGTCATCTCTAAATATTTAACTTTTGTTATGTTTCTATACATTTTTTTTGGAAACAGACACAATTAAGATCTTGACTGTATACCTTATTTATTTAACATTACTAAATATACACCTTTTTCAATTAGATAAAATAATTTTCTCCACAATTCTATGTTACGCATGCGGTCTTTTATAATATATGAATATGAAATGAATTGCCAGTTTTTATTGGATGTTGGTCATTTCAGTCCATCCTTATTTTTATATTGCACTATTAACAGTAAAGACAGAAAGCGTATTCCTTAATATAAAAGCAATATTTAATCAATCGAATGACCGAATAGTGAATTGCCTCTGGTTTCTGCAATACGATCCATAAAAACGGAAATATTCATGGAAACTATAATATACTTTCCCCTGATAACGCATTTTAATTCTATACAATACTTCGACAGATAACAGATCCAGAGGAGTGGTTGTTAAGCTGGAATTGACCGGTAGTAATGAAGTAGATTACAAGATCTTCAGTTTAATAACAAAAAACAGATTGCAATCCAACGTAAGTATGCATTTAAATTATATCAAGCGGAGATAACTCGCGAATTCCTACTCCAGTATACAGAGGAATGCCGTTAATCAAGTATTCAGTTGAACGTTGTTAATCCGTATTTAAGTAAACAGTCGAACGGCGTTAATCTGCACTTCATTATGTAGTGGAGGGCTGCTATCCCATTCTAAAGTTTAGAGTGGAATGTCGTTAATCCATTCTCTATTATACAGTGGAACGTCGTTAATCCATTCTCTAGTATACAGTGGAATGTCGTTAATCCGTTCTAAAGTTCAGAGTGGAATGTCGTTAATCCGTTCTCTAGTATACAGTGGAACGTCGTTAATCCGTTCTCTAGTATACAGTGGAATGTCGTTAATCCATTCTCTAGTCTACAGTGGAATGTCGTTAATCCATTCTGTAGTATACAGTGGAATGTTGTTAATCTGTTCTCTAGAATACAGTGGAATGTCGTTTATCCATTCTCTAGTATACAGTGGGATGTCATTAATCCATTCTCTAGTATATAGTGGAATGTCGTTAATCCATTCTCTAGTCTACAGTGGAATGTCGTTTTTCTGTTCTCTAGTATACAGTGGTATGTCGTTAATCCATTCTGTAGTATACAGTGGAATGCCGTTAATCCGTTCTCCTGTAAACAGTGAATTGTTGTTAATCTGTTCTCTAGTATACAGTGGAATGTCATTAATCCATTCTCTAGTATACAGTGGAATGTCGTTATCCCATTCTAAAGTTTACAGTGGAATGTCGTTAATCCATTCTCTAGTATACAGTGGAATGTTGTTAATCTGTTCTCTAGTATACAGTGGAATGTCGTTAATAAGTTCTCCTGTAAACAGTGAATTGTTGTTAATCTGTTCTCTAGTATACAGTGGAATGTCGTTATCCCATTCTAAAGTTTACAGTGGAATGTCGTTAATCCATTCTCTAGTATACAGTGGAATGTCGTTAATCTGTTCTCTAGTATACAGTGGAATGTCGTTAATCCGTTCTCTAGTATACAGTGGAATGTCGTTAATCCATTCTCTAGTATACAGTGGAATGTCGTTAATCCGTTCTCTAGTATACAGTGGAATGTCGTTAATCTGTTCTCTAGTATACAGTGGAATGTCGTTAATCTGTTCTCTAGTATACAGTGGAATGTCGTTAATCCATTCTCTAGTATACAGTGGAATGTCGTTAATCCATTCTCTAGTATACAGTGGAATGTCGTTAATCCGTTCTCTAGTATACAGTGGAATGTCGTTAATCTGTTCTCTAGTATACAGTGGAATGTCGTTAATCTGTTCTCTAGTATACAGTGGAATGTCGTTAATCCATTCTCTAGTATACAGTGGAATGTCGTTAATCCATTCTCTAGTATACAGTGGAATGTCGTTAATCTGTTCTCTAGTATACAGTGGAATGTCGTTAATCTGTTCTCTAGTATACAGTGGAATGTCGTTATCCCATTCTCTAGTATACAGTGGAATGTCGTTAATCCATTCTCTAGTATACAGTGGAATGTCGTTAATCTGTTCTCTAGTATACAGTGGAATGTCGTTAATCTGTTCTCTAGTATACAGTGGAATGTCGTTATCCCATTCTCTAGTATACAGTGGAATGTCGTTAATCCATTCTCTAGTATACAGTGGAATGTCGTTAATCCATTCTCTAGTATACAGTGGAATGTCGTTAATCTGTTCTCTAGTATACAGTGGAATGTCGTTAATCTGTTCTCTAGTATACAGTGGAATGTCGTTATCCCATTTCAAAGTTTACAGTGGAATGTCGTTAATCCATTCTCTAGTATACAGTGGAATGTCGTTATTCCATTCTAAAGTTTACAGTGGAATGTCGTTAAACCATTCTCTAGTATACAGTGGAATGTCGTTAATCTGTTCTCTAGTATACAGTGGAATGTCGTTAATCTGTTCACCTGTAAACAGTGAAATGTCATTAATCCATTCTCTTGTATACAGTGGAATGTCGTTAATCTGTTCTCTGGTATACAGTGGAATGTCGTTATCCCAATCTAAAGTTTACATAGGAATGTCGTTAATCAGTTCTCCTGTAAACAGTGAATTGTTGTTAATCTGTTCTCTAGTATACAGTGGGATGTCGTTAATCCGTTCTCCTGTATACAATGGCATGTCGTTATCCCATTCTAAAGTATATAGTGGAATGTCGTTAATCCGGTCTCTAGTATATAGTGGAATGACGTTATCCTATTCTAAAGTATACAGTGGAATGTCGTTAATCCATTCTCTAGTATACAGTGGAATGTCGTTTATCCGTTCTCTAGTATACAGTGGAATGTCGTTACTCCGATCCATACTCCTTTTTACAGTAGAAGTTCGTAATCCGTACCCTGTAATACGGTTGAAGATCGTTAATCCGTACTCCGGTATATAGCGGAATGTCGTTAATCCGTAATCCGTTATGCAATGTAAGATCGTTTATCCTTACCCTAGTATACGGTTGAAGATCGTTAATCCGTATTCCGGTATACAGTGGGATGTCGTTAATGAGTTTTCCGGTAATCTGTTCTCCTCTGTAAGGATACTGTTACAGAATCTTAGCTGTAACATATCACGGGCTTATTTTTTTTTACATCTCAACCTCGGCGTAGGCCTCGGTTAATATATTGTCTTAATCTGTTATCTGGGATTCAGTGGGAACCCTCTTATTCGTTCTCCGGATACTGTCTTCGATTGTTTTAGTTCGATAAATATGAAGGAAGATTAAAATTCATGTTTTCCTTGGCGATTTTGATATTATAACTCTATGGAGGTTCACTGTTGATGTGATATAACTGCAAAAAGTAACTATTTTTCCGTTCGGTCTATTCACATGAGTTTTTCCAATTACCTTTTATTGTTACTTTTATATTACCTACAATAAATCTGATAAATTGGCGATTGTTAATATGAACTGATGTATTCAAAATATTATGATTGTAATTCAAAGGACATTACCTTGCACTGATGTTTTCAAAATGCCATGAATGTAACTTAGAGGACATTATCTGTTTTCTTTTTTCACGAACAAAATATCTGTTTTCTTTTTTTACGAACAAAACATTCTTTAATTTATGTGTCTTCACTCGTGTTTGTGTTACTTTTTTAGAATGGGGTAACATCTTACACGATTACACTAGCATTGCCTAACATCGACGCGTTGTTTATCGCAGAAGTGTATCCGATACAACCCGAGAAAGATGGTAGCTCCTTTATACACCCTATGTCGGTCGGCAAAAGTGACAGAGATAATATGTCCATCAATAAGGTTTACATGTACACACCAGAAGGTGAGTACAATCTATTAGGTATGTGATGGCCTAGTCAATCAATAAAGACTGTTTGCCTAACCATATGATACAGGTTTCAATCGGTGAACTAGCAACGACACTTAGTGTAATGCATGTTGTTGAATATCACTGTAGACGACGTTTGAATACCCACTGTGGTGTAATAGTAGCCTTTTTAAATGTTTAACGTCAATTGTGGTGGAATTGTAGCCTATTATAATGTTTAACGTCAATTGTAGTGTAATAGTAGCCCATTATAATGTTTAACGTCAATTGTGGTGGAATTGTAGCCTATTATAATGTTTAACGTCAATTGTGGTGTAATTGTAGCCTGTTATAATGTTTATCGTTTATTATGGTGTAATAGTAGCCTATTATAATGTTTAACGTCAATTGTGGTACAATAGTAGCCTATTATAATGTTTAACGTCAATTGTGGTGTAATTGTAGCCAATTATAATGTTTAACGTCAATTGTGGTGTAAAAGTAGCCAAATATAATGTTTTACGTCAATTGTGGTGTAATTGTAGCCAATTATAATGTTTAACGTCAATTGTGGTGTAAAAGTAGCCTATTATCATGTTTAACGTTATTTGTGGTGTGATAGTAGCCTATTATAATGTTTAACGTCAATTGTAGTGTTATAGTAGCCTATTATAATGTTTAACACCAGGTGTGGTATAATTGTAGCCTGTTATAATGTTTATCGTTTATTATGGTGTAATAGTAGCCTATTATAATGTTTAACGTCAATTGTGGTGCAATAGTAGCCTATTATAATGTTTAACGTCAATTGTGGTGTAATTGTAGCCTATTATAATGTTTAACGTCAATTGTGGTGTAATTGTAGCCTATTGTAATGTTTAACGTCAATCGTGGTGTAATTGAAGACTATTATAATGTTTAACGTCAATTGTGGTATAATTGTAGCCAAATATAATGTTTAACGTCAATTGTGGTGCAATAGTAGCCTATTATCATGTTTAACGTTAATTGTGGTGTAATTGTAGCCTGTTATAATGTTTAACGTCAATTGTGGTGTAATTGTAGCCTATTGTAATGTTTAACGTCAATTGTGGTGTATTTGTAGCCTATAATAATGTTTAACGTCAATTGTGGTGTAATTGTAGCCAATTATAATGTTTAACGTCAATTGTGATGTATATTTAGCCTATTAAAATGTTTAACGTCAATTGTGGTGTAATTGTAGCCTATTATAATGTTTGACGTCAATTGTGGTGTAATTGTAACCTATTATAATGTTTAACGTCAATTGTGGTGTAATTGTAGCCAATTATAATGTTTAACGTCAATTGTGGTGTAAAAGTAGCCTATTGTAATGTTTAACGTCAAATGTGGTGTAATTGTAGCCAAGTATAATGTTTAACGTCAATTGTGGTGTAATTGAAGACAATTATAATGTTTAACGTCAATTGTGGAGTAATTGTAGCCAATTATAATGTTTAACGTCAATTGTGGTGTAAAAGTAGCCAAATATAATGTTTTACGTCAATGGTGGTGTAAAAGTAGCCAATTATAATGTTTAACGTCAATTGTGGTGTAATTGTAGACTATTATAATGTTTAACGTCAATTGTGGAGTAATTGTAGCCAATTATAATGTTTAACGTCAATTGTGGTGTATATTTAGCCTATTATAATGTTTAACGTCAATTGTGGTGTAATTGTAGCCTTTTATAATGTTTAACGTCAATTGTGGTGTAATTGTAGCCAATTATAATGTTTAACGTCAATTTTGGTGTAAAAGTAGCCTATTGTAATGTTTAACGTCAAATGTGGCGTAATTGTAGCCAAGTATAATGTTTAACGTCAATTGTGGTGTAATTGTAGCCAATTATAATGTTTAACGTCAATTGTGGTGTAAAAGTAGCAAAAGATAATGTTTAACGTCAATTGTGGTTTAATTGTAGCCAGTTATAATGTTTATCGTTTATTGTGGTGTAATAGTAGCCTATTATAATGTTTAACGTCAATTGTGGTTTAATTGTAGCCAGTTATAATGTTTACCGTTTATTGTGGTGTAATAGTAGCCTATTATAATGTTTAACGTCAATTGCGGTGTAATAGTAGCCAATTATAATGTTTAACGTCAATTGTGGTGTAATTGTAACCTAATATAATGTTTAACGTCAATTGTTGTGTAATTGTAGACTATTATAATGTTTAACGTTTATTGTGGAGTAATTGTAGCCTATTATAATGTTTAACGTCAATTGTGTTGTAATTGTACCTATTATAATGTTTAACGTCAATTGTGGTGTAATAGTAGACAATTATAATGTTTAACGTCAATTGTGGTGTAATTGTAGACTATTACAATGTTTAACGTTAATTGTGGAGTAATTGTAGCCTATTATAATGTTTAACGTCAATTGTGTTGTAATTGTACCTATTATAATGTTTAACGTCAATTGTGGTGTATATTTAGCCTATTATAATGTTTAACGTTAATTGTGGAGTAATTGTAGCCTGTTATAATGTTTAACGTCAATTGTGGTGTATATTTAGCCTATTATAATGTTTAACGTCAATTGTGGTGTAATTGTAACCTATTATAATGTTTAACGTCAATTGTGGTGTACGTGTAGCCTATTATAATGTTTAACGTCAATTGTGGTGTAATTGTAGCCTATTATAATGTTTAATGTCAATTTTGGTGTAATTGTAGCCTATTATAATGTTAAACGTCAATTGTGATGTAATAGAAGCCTATTATAATGTTTAACGTCAATTGTGGTGTAATAGTAGCCTATTATAATGTTTAACGTCAATTGTGGTGTATTTGTAGCCTATAATAATGTTTAACGTCAATTGTGGTGTAATAGTAGCCTATTGTAATGTTTAACGTCAATTGTGGTGTAAAAGTAGCCCATTATAATGTTTAACGTCAATTGTGATGTAGATATAATTATACTTTTGTGATATTATGAAACTATTATGTTGTAACAATACCCATTGTGATATTATAATATCATTTGTCTGAAATAACACCCATTGTAGTGTTAAACACCATTGTAAAAAACATTATGTTGTAACAATACCAATTGTGATATAATAACACCAAATGTGATATTATGAAACCATTATGTTGTAACAATACCAATCGTGATGTTATCACACCCATTGTGATATTATAATATCATTTGTGTTGTAATAACACCCATTGTATTGTTGAAAGCCATTGTGATACAATGACACCCAATGTGATATTATAATATCCTTTGTGATGCTTCAACATCGAATATGACGCAATAACGCTCCACTGTTACGTAATATCACCTATTGTTATCACACAACTAGTTGACACCAATGTGACAAATATCGCCCATTGTCATTTAAAGGACGTCCGGCAATCACAATTGAAAAAAAGAATATAATTATATTTTTCTTATTTAACAACATTTCTATAAATCTCGCAAATGCTCCCTGCAGAAAAATTCATCTAATATGGGATGTTGTTTAAGATCACTTCTCTCTTATCGGTAGATCAGTATTTGTACCTTCAGAGGTTATCTCATATTTTGGTCGTAGTTTTTGCTATTTGTGATCGAGTACGTGTCATTATTAAGCTGCAGTGTAATTAATATATCTCGTGTTATAATAACGTCGTAGTGTTATTAATATATTTCGTGTCATTATTACATTGTAGTGTACTTAGTATATCTTGTGTCATTATTACATTGTAGTGTAATTCATATTTCTCGTGTCATTAATAAGTTGCAGTGTTATTAATATATCTCGTGTTATAATTACGTCGTAGTGTAATTAGTATATCTTGTGTCATTATTACATTGTAGTGTACTTAGTATATCTTATGTCATTATGACATTGTAGTGTAATTAATATATCTCGTGTCATTATTAAGCTGCAATTTAATTAATATATCTCGTGTTATTATTACGTCGTACTGTTATTATTATATCTCGTGTCATTATTACATTGTAGTGTAATTAGTATATCTTGTGTCATTATTACATTGAAGTGTAATTAGTTTATCTTGTGTCATTATTACATTGTAGTGTAATTAGTATATCTCGTGTCATTATTACATTGTAGTGTAATTAATATCTCTCGTGTCATTATTAAGCTGCAATTTAATTAATATATCTCGTGTTATTATTACGTCGTGCTGTTATTAATATATCTCGTGTAATTATTACATTGTAGTGTAATTAGTATATCTTGTGTCATTATTACATTGAAGTGTAATTAGTTTATCTTGTGTCATTATTACATTGTAGTGTAATTAAAATATCTCGTGTCATTATTACATTGTAGTGTAATTAATATCTCTCGTGTCATTATTAAGCTGCAATTTAATTAATATATCTCGTGTTATTATTACGTCGTACTGTTATTAATATATCTCGTGTCATTGTTACGTCGTAGACTAGTGTAATTAATATATCATATCAACAATATTTATTTTTCGCTTTGACTTTTTCAGTTGATTATATATGTAAGTGTGGAGATATTATCGTGACAACAAACAACACTATATCTCTGAACCTGTGTAATTACTCAGCACATTTAATCTCTTCTACTGTCACACGAAAAGGCGCCGACAGTATCTGCACTCCAACGAACGAGGTACGTTTGAAAAATGCGCACGTGCATAAATATTTTCAAAAATTGATCATTTATTGAAGCATGAAGACATTAAAACGTAATTATTTAGCGAATATATATGAAATGATTTGGAGTAATAAATACGTTTGATAGTATATTACTATCTTTATTTCTTTCATCCATTACATATATTGTGACTATCACTTTATTTTGTTTCTCTGACATTTTAATCTCTGAGCTTTTTTGTTACCTTCCTTATCAGATTACTTTATATCATAATACTTTTGTTATTACAGAGTGCATGTGAGAAAAATTATTCGAACTTGGTCGATGGCAACTATACTGTTTTGGTATGTTATTTTAGAACATTAAGGATTGATTCTTTCCCCCCCTCAATAGTGTCAGCTTTAGCATTTTCACATAACACTTACATGTAACTACTTTACCGATATGTGTTTTGAATGTTTTTAGAATAAACACCCACCCACGCACCAATGAAACGAAGTTCGTTTCATTCCAATGAACATAATATCACGGAGGTTATAAAGTAAATAGATTGCGACATATGATCACAGATTACTTGTTCACAATACGGGTTTATTATTCAAAGGAACTCGGCGGAGCAGTTCTGTTTGATTCTTTATAATTACAAGACCCGGGAAAAGGTGTCTAATTTCGGTTTCAATTTTACTGTGTCGACTATGTTGTTGAGATTCTGTTCCTTTATCAATATAAAAAGTCTACTACGTCTCAGTTTATGTATAACTTTTAAATTCCGATGTTTCTAATGACTTTTTCTTTAATTTGTTCAAAAATGATTTTTTAAAGCGACATCATTATTAATACCAATGCATTTTTTTTCTTCGAGAACAAAAAAAAGAGAAGATTTTTGTTACATTTGATCATGTTCTCGTCTATATTTATTCATATTCAACATTTATATTCTTAAATGTGACATGTTTGGGGTGACGATACATTATTCACCACTAGAATAAAGCATCAAATGACTTGATTCCAGATATTAAAAATAAATCGTGTTTCTGTATCTTCCGTCCATTCCGGTTTTAACGAACATAAACAATACATGTTTTTATTTTGTGGCATTTTACAGACCTCTTTTAAGTGCAAGGATGATAAACCTCTGGAATGCAAAAAGGATGTCACCATTTGGACACAAAAAGGTATTTAAATCATTGTTATTGATTTCATAAAGCAAATCTAAACAATACACATTAGATCAGTACTGTACAGAGTACCCTTTTCGGTCTGTGTGCGTGTGTTTTTTTATAGTAGATTTTGATTCCATTTTCCTTTATGGTGGTTTTTAAATTATGCTTATACATGCAGGAATTGAGCGTTAATTCGAGAATTATCTTAATATGGATTTAAAATGGACATTGCGACGGTGAACTTTCCCTTTTTTTAAAGTAACATCCCTGCTTCCCCTATCTACGGTGTTAACATGTCGCAGTTGATTCGGTACTCAAGCACTATCGCCGAATACCATGACTACTACCCGAGTTCTAGATGTGAGAATGTGACATGCTTTGACCTAGATTTACATGGCGGGTATCGCTGCTGGAACACGTTTATCTTTCCGGAACACCTATTTCTATTATTGTTGTACTTTTTCCCTGTAAATATTTCATTTGTTCATATTTTGCTGTAGTTTTATCGATTTTAAGTTCATTTATGGTTTTGTTGACACGGCGGCATTCTCGTGTTTTGTTTTTATAATACATATATATGATGAAAATCGTCATCAATGCTTTACTATAATGTCTATGTTTACTGACACTTACAGATGACGTAAAGGTGATCCAGGCTGATGATATCTTTGATGTTAACAAGGTGCTGATGATTGCTGGGATTTCAACTGGATGTGTGATGGCGTTTGTTGTAGTTGTAACGTACGGGATATTGAAACGACGTCTTCATCAAAGTAAGAGTCCTTTTACATTTAAAACTTAGAAAGGAATATAATCAAAACAAACCCCACTGAGAACCAAACTATTGTTTTCAATGGTTTTGTATCTCTGCTTCCTTTCTGTGGGAAATGAAGAATATAATGAATTTTTTTTAACATTGATCTTTGCTAATGTATGTTGACTAATGTATATGTAATCATTAGCCAGATATGAATGCCAGATATGCATGCAATGTTCATGCAGATGTCAAAACATGCGTATATATAGTGTTGTCATATTAATATCATTGTTTAAGTGATATGCAATATAACAGATCACAATACCACTCCCAAATACTGTTACTAAGTAATGGAAACCGTTTAAATCATTTCCGAAAACAAAAATTAAAGGGAGGTTGCTGTATATAGAAAAATCGCACGGCAGTTGAACAATGTCATTGATAAAGATATAAAACGTATATGTAAAATATACAATGCAATAAACAATGTAATACTATATAGATAACACTATATTATGCCTATATGCTATTCATATAGATATCGATGCAATAGTAAACAATGTCGTGTCTTTTACCACATCCATATTGGACTATCTGTTGAGACTAAAATTTTATACAGCATCCTTTACCAAAGGATACGTATATAAACTAATAAGACTTTACACTGACTACAGTGTTTGTGTTGAGAGTTCTCGTTTGTAAGCCGATGTCAAATTATTACTGCATTTAAACTTTTGTAGGTTCAAACAAACATAAGAGGAGAGAACTGATACTTAAAGAACGGAATGACATTATGCTCGTTTACTTCTCTGCGTCTGGACTTAAAAACAATATTGGAGAATTTGCTGAAACGCTTAAGAAAGCTACACGACTGCCTGTGCATTTTCATGACGACGAAGCGTCCCAAGGACAAAGATTTACCAATAAGTTCGACTGGCTTGATGAATGCGTAAGGAATAGCTCAAACTTTGTTTTTATTGCATCTAGAGATCTATACGAATTACTTGAGAAAAAGTGCAAAGGAAATGCCAATAGCACTTTTAATCCAACGGGAAATAATGAGGTAGAATTTAGTGATGAACAAGCTTGGTTGGCCGGAATTCCTTGTTACGTGATGGACCGAATGCGAGGCAAACGATTTTATGGACTGAAACGGAGTCGTTGCTTTATTGTATCGTTTAAGGACGACGTAAATGAAAGTAAAATTGACTACGCTCATAAACTGTCACAGTTGAGTGTTTTTCAGTGTAAAGGGACAAAACTTTGTTATGTTTCACAAAAAAAGCCGATGACGATCACAGGGAAGTTTCTTTATGAACTGCATGGTAATAAACGCTCCAGACAAATTAACATAAACGATCTGGAGAAAGATGAACAGGAAATGCTTTTACCTATGGAAGGAATTGATGAAGCGATTGCAATAGATGTATAGTAAGAGTATGATATTTCAAGCACGATCCTAACACTAAAAAAGAATCCGTCATAAAGGGCTTTAGAGTTGAAGAGCCTTTTGTGAAAAGACTCGGTTCTTCAAAGCTGACAATTCTTATTCGTTTGAGATATAACATAGCATTTGATTGGTCAATCAAAATGATTTGCGGTTTTTAGCTCATCTGCTCAAAGGGCAAGTGAGCTTGTGCCTTGGCACGGCGTCCATCATCCGTACGTCTGTCGGCCGTCCGGCGTCCGGCGTCAATATTTTACTTTAAACAACTTCTTCTCAATAACCCAAAGGCTTAGGGTGATGATATTTGGCCTGTATCATGCTGGGATAAAGGGCTTCCAAGTTTGTATAAATGAATGACCTTGACTCACTTTCAAGGTCACAGGGGTCAAATGTCTTTAAATCTTCAAACGACATCTTCTTAGTAACCGAAAGGTCCAGGGTGCTGATATTGGGCCTGTAGCATACATGGCTGAAGGGCTACCAAGTTTGTTAAAATGAATGACCTTGACTCACTCTCAAGGTCACAGGGGTCAGATGTCTTAAAATCTTCAAACGACTTCTTCTCAATAACCAAAAGTCCCAGGGTATTGATATTGGGCCTGTAGCATGCTGGGGTAAAGGGCTGCCAAGTTTGTTCCAATTAATGACCTTGACCCACTTTCAAGGTCACAGAGGTCAAATGTGTTAAAATATTCCAACAACTTCTCCCAAAAACCAAGAGGCCTAGGATCATGATATTTGGCCAGTAACATGCTGTGATGAAGGATTACCAAGTATGTTTAAATGAATGACTTTGACATATATTCAAGGTCACAGGGGTCAAATATGTTTAAAACCTTTAAACGACTTCGTCTCAATAAGCAAAAGGCCAAGGGTGATTGGTTTGGCCAGTAACATGCTGGGATGAAGGACTACTACGTTTGTTCAAATGAATGACATTCGTCAATATTCAAGGTCACAGTGGTCAATATATGTTTAAATCTTCAAATGACTTGTTCTGTATAACCAAAAGATCCAGGGTACTGATATTTTCTCAGAAGTATGCTGGGTTGGAAGACTATAAACTCTGTTCAACCTAAAGGACTTGTTCGACATTCAAGGTCATATGTTTAAATCTTTTAATAGGTTCTTATGAATCAAACGCTGATCTTCTGCCTGTAGCTGTATTTTAGTCCACTTGTAAGATTACAAGTGTGAGATTAATACCAGGTGAGCGATTCAGACCCATTGGTACACTTGTTTTCTATGATATAACTTTTGTTAATGACGTTAGTGAGACTCACTTACCGTTTCACGTTATGTAATTGATTGTTTATGTCGTCACAAACATTAGGTATGACCATGGAAGGTCAGTGTCATTCCGTCTCATTTTGAATGGCACTGACGTCATCAACGTATAGAATACTGAAGTAGAAACCCCCCCAAAAAGATTTATTTTTCAGTATTTAAGCTTTAGAAATTAAAATGGGATAACTATTTGTTTTGAGATTTGCGCCGATATATTGCTAATGTAATAGAAAATATTTGTTCAACTAGCTAGCTCCTTTCCGTAACGCCAGTAAAATGGAATTTGAGAAAGCCCCATCTCAAAACAATCAAACACATTAGGGTTATCCCTGAACTTAACGCAAAACTTTTATCTTGCATGATATTAAAATTCCAAAGTAAATTAACATGTATATCAATTTAAAATGATCGTAACAAGAAGTATTAACAAAATAATCTTCCCAGATATTTCTCAAATAGCATGTTGAAATAATGATATGCATGATGTATGGTAAATGTACATGATGAAAGGTGACCTGGTAAGGTTACAATGAGCTGCTGCATTATGCATTCCTTAGCTGTATATACATATATGTAGTAGTGAAATGACCTCGAATGTACGATAACGTAAGTGTGTAAGATATTCTGTAATGTAATAAATGTTTATCACAGTGTATTCATTGAACATAATTACAATCAATTTTTAATATCCTCGAATTTCGACAATCAATAAAAGCATGACGTGTATTGAAAACAGACAAACAACACATGGTCTTCAGTAAGGGCTAGTTATGCCAAACATAACTCCACATGTCTCATTCATTACATTTTAGATAATTTTCTAGTCCTCATGAACAACACAAACATAATCAAGTTTTTATTACGGAAAGTATTAATGTTTTTGTTCCTGTAAGTATTGTCCGTATTTTTCGTAAAAAAATATGTTACTCTAGCTGATCTCAAAATTTGTTGACTTTACCAAAGTTTTATTAATAATTAATTGTACACGCGTTTAAAGGGTCATGTTAACGTCTTATTACATTATACAATTTATTTTATTGTGACAATTTGTCTCTTTAGAGGTCATATACATCTATACTAAATTATGTCAATAGTATACTAGGAATCGTTGTCACATCTTTATGTTACATTTATTGGTCTTTTGCCAAGTTCGTCATCTTAACAAATCAAACAATAAGGCAGCCATGTTGTGTTCCGAACGATCTATGATATTGCGTAGATAAAGTTTTACATACATGTACTAATACTTATTTCGTATTACACTGGGTTTATTTCATATACACTGAAATCAAAAATTTCTACTGGTTTTCAATTTACTCTTATGTATATATTGGTACAAGATAGGTTTTATTGCACGTTGAAATGGTCATGTGATCCTGCAATATAATTTTGTTTTTTATGTGACCAACATACCCATTGTCGCCTGGTTTTGCTCATTGACGGCGTTTTGTCTACTGTCGACCGCCGTCGGTCTTCTGCAATATAGCACAGCACACCCGTTCTCATAAATGTCAGTAGAACATATACAGGGAGCATTTTAATATATAACATGGTTAAAAGTATGCTACAATATAATCGGTTATGACGTCATATTTATTTCATCGCTTGATCAGCTTATCCAACACGGCAGTCATCCATTTGCATTGTATAATACACTCTTTCATAGTTGTTTTGATTTTTTAAAATTCGTCATTTTTAATCATGGTCTTGAATATAGATGTGGTAAAAACCTGACTTTACGACACCTGCTTTCGGGACATCTTGTCGTATATAAGGACACCAGCTGGCTTCAATCATCTCTGACATCATCGCCAGTCGATAAATCACAATGAAATCTGTCTTTCCCGACACCTCATTTAAGGACATTTTGTAATATGCCAGGAAACCTGTCTTTAAACTGTCAATTACACTTGTCCTTAATTACCGACGTCTGGTTTAGCGACTTCTTATGGTATACATTTTTTTTTAACTTTATCGACGCTTGTCTTTCACGACACCCCATACTATCTTACATTTAGTTTATTATACAATGAATATTTATTTTCACTGCCACATAATTTAAGAAAGGACATTCTGTAATATATATCTAAATTCTTGATGTCGGTAATGACGTGTGTCACTGCTTATATAGCTTGTAAAGGATTGTCAGAGTTTATATTGTTTAAAATGCATGTAGTATCATTTATATAAAAGTTTAGATGGTATAAAGAGAATATTTTGGGAATCGTGTTATATTTTCTTTAAATTGATATACATGTTTGATTATGTTATGAAAATAAAATGATAGTCGTCACTAAAATCACTTAATCTGTCATAGGCTTGGTATAAAAGTGCACTTTTAGCTTCATTCTTGTAACCGGAAATCTTTTTATTCACGTAAATATTGTAAAAATAATATTTTTTGAGCAAATTTATTTTTATGTCGTTGTTTCATTTCAATTGCATGTTATAAAAGTGCTTTATTGCTTGAAATAAAAATGTATTAAAACGTATTACAAGTACGTGTTTCTTATAATTTAAGTTTCTTATAATTTAATGCCAAGACTGCAGCATCGCGTCACAGCCAGGGCCAATTAAGGAGACTTCCTGGTCTGAACAAACTGAAACACGGATATGGGCAATCTTATTCTATTCGAACATCTTCCTCGTGATCATAAGTTGACGTAAACTTATATCTATGTATACAGTAAAATCGTCATCCATCCATATCAGGTTTTCGCTGCAGCTAAAGGTTAATCGTTTGATGAGGTAATTTACGGATTGTTGGGTCGAAAGATTATCTTGATTGTACTTTGCGGCTAAAATCGATTGTGTGTATGATGTTGAGAGTTGAACTGACCATTGTTAAAAATCAACATTTTTGAAAGGCATTGCCATGAGCTTAGATTAATTAATCTTTTCAATAAACAACTAAAAAAACGCGTGGTCATTTGAAAATTTACACAAATTCACAGAAGCATTTAGACTACTCTACTCCCCCTTTTTATAGTACGAATATGCTAAAAATGTATCCCATTATTTAATAATACAGCAAAAGTCACTTTTCATAATACACTTACACTGTTTATAATTGAAACAATTTAAATATATTTCAGGAAAATGATATTAAAAAAAACAGCAAATAAGAATTATTACCACATTTTCAAACTAAATATATGTGACTAGCTTACGACATGAATCGAAACACTGACATTGTATGGACTAATACTGGAAGAGTTGTCTGATGATAACGATCCTTGAATTACTCAAATATGTATGCCTTACGTATACCTGTGCGACAGATGTCGCTGACACGAGTTAACCAACTTCTTACCATGGAGTTGACTTAACAACAAAAAAACACTCAAATCTTAAACAAATTGCAAGAGCTCGTTCCCGTCGAGAGCTAGTTTAATTTATCAATGATAAATTCTCCTAGTCAACTTTTGAACTCAGTAAATAACACGATCGTGTACAATAGTATCCCTTCTCTATGGTCGAACTTCCTTGTTCCTTCTTGTCAGCTAGTGCGTTAAAATGTGCGCAGTCGAACATATACGGAGACACATGTATAAAGGAATATGTGAGAAATGGTTACGTAGTCCTTGTAATGGTCATTAAACAAAATAAAAAAGCAAGTTTGAAATTATTATCTATAAATGAGTGAACTGATAAGAGAAAACATTACATTTTGTACTATTCTTTTCAGGGGCAAAAACGTTAGTGCAAAATTTAACGTTTTCTTTTGTCATTTTATCAATTTCTTTTTAAACTTACGTCAATATTCACTTGTTCTACCAGATACTCGCCGCGCTCCCTGCACTCTCTGACAAAGGAGAAACCGATGTTATTTAAATTCATCCAATTCGAACAAATTAAATATTTTGTAAACATAACTTACATAACAATACTGCGGAATTCCTTTCATTCGATCACATATGATTGTCCCAACATTTCTTTTACAAAAGGAATGCATCAAAACAAAAACTGTTACTAAGACTTCAAAAATTTGAAAATTATGACTAAATCGTAGCAATAATTATGTACGTTGTGTCTTAATCTTTCCAGATTAGGTCATGTTTCAGGAAGATTTCGACTACATTATACGATTGACAAAGAATTACGTTAAAAGTACAGCCCAGACAAATTCTTTTCCTATATTAACATTGACGAACTCATGGTGAAAATATTGTAGTTCTTTGTTCGCTGTTGTTTCTTTGTGGACACATACAACCAGTTCGTGGGAAGCAGACGCTAGCACATCATTGTCATAACTACAGAAATACAGTTTTCATTTAAAATAGGGAAAATTTATGAGTTTCCACAGCGTCGATAAACACCGTTAAAATCTGATAACACAATCAATGAAAAATACAACAGGAACAAAGGCAAAAAAACCATATAATGAATTCACTCAAAAAAGTGGGAACGAAATCAGGTACAACGGACAGTTAAACATTCGCGGAAGCATATATATTTTCCAACATCCGTTATTTGATATTCATATGAGTAGACCTCTAATTTTGTTTTGGTTTCGTTCTGCGTTCTGTTTTCTTTTTCTTGACGTCATATTATGCGCTTAAACAAGATGAACATGAATATACAAGCACGCAGGAAGTATTCCATAATCCAAAAAGAGAAAAAAAATATAAAGCTGTGTTCAAATAAAAGTGAAGAAGGAAGTTCATTACGAGTTGTATTTGCCTGGTATTTCAAAGTATGATAATAGGATTCTTTGTGTCGTTATCTTTGCGATGTTGTCCTTAGTAACTCGAATCTACAGCTTAGACACATATGTGGTACGTTCCAGTCCTTGGGTATAGCTCCATCACCAGGCCATCACCTAGGGACCCCGAAATTCAAAAGTAAAAACGTCACACTTAGAGCGGCTTAAAACAACAGACTACAACAAGTGTAGCTGTGTAACAACTCTGCTTACAGATCTAAAACTTGAAACCCTAAGAACATCGGAAAAAAGAACACCGACTTATCTTAGGTGTTAACAGATTAGTTGCACTACCTGTTGATGACTTTTTAAAAGATTACATAATATCAAACAAAACTCTCAAAATCTTCTTGTGCGAATCGGAACATTTAAGGAAATACTTTGTTTAAAAATTATGAAAGCGTGGAACTAGATACAAAAGTCCAAAGTAGATGTAACTTTGCTTTCGCTCAACGAGTTCAAAGTTAGCATCAGTAACATTTAATCTATGTCCGTCCCGGGATGAGATGTAGGCCTACGTGTACTAATTATATAACCATACAATTGTTCAACATCTCACCAGATAATATCAGAAAACTTTAGAATTGCGATGATCATTCAAATTGGCGCGCAATGGCCAATTTAAGTCGTTCTTTTTTAAAAATAAAATGAAAAAAAAGGATTACGAAAATTAATTTGTATATTTTATTAGTGTATTTTAACTTTATATTACATGAAATGTTATACCTAATATAGTACATGATAACTATCCTTGCCATTTTTGACTGTATCCGGTTCTACATTATATTTTGTCATGGACCTTTTGGTTTTGGTCCCCGTCAGCCCCGGTTCCAGTGAGGGCAGCTCAGCTGTTTGATACTGTTAACCTGTAGCTAGTGGTGGAGGGCTAGTGTTAGAAGAATGCCAGACTTGGCCACCGCGCACAGGCCAGGGGCCCCATTGGAAATAAGCCTCTATAAACTTTATGAGTTATCCCTGGTATAGGCTAAATTTTATTGTTTTAACTGGATTCTAATTTCTGATTAAAAAGCATTGAACAATCTGGTCAATTAATTTAATGCTATCCTGTTTTACAATCAAATTTCAAACTTTAATGTGATAAAATTGTGATAGTTTCTCTTTTTTATGTTGTACTTTTTTTTGATTTATTACATTTACCTGAATAAAATTAAAAAAAAAATCCATACAATTACCACTATCGCATGTGCGCTGTCTCTGTATAGTGTTAGATATATATACTCTTAATGGTATTAGGCTATGTCGGGCGCTATTAGCTTCAGCCGGACTGCATATAGTACTACCGCCACTGATGTGGAAAGGTAGACCCTCGGATTCTGTTGTTCTTTATAAATGACAGTGATGCTGCCTTCTCTTGATTTGATTTCTAGGTACCATTGCATTTTTTTGGTATGGAAAGTAGTATTAGATATTTCTGTAGTATTGATACAGAGTTGTACTCGACCTTAAGTTAGGTCACGTACGTGTTATGCGATTGAGTTTGTAATACGTGGGGCTCGTGCAAGTCTAAATTTGTATTTCGATTATATTGATAAATGTTCACACAAAGGACTTGGAGTGGACGATTAAGTCTTTATTAAACATATGGTGTCTCAATTGTAAGATCAAACCTATTGCCATACTGATAAGGTTCGTTCCTATGAAGCTACAATCCACAGGTGCTAGCTTATAGTAATTGGTAGGCCTATAGCTATATAGTGATATGTGTACATTTGTATATATGTAAACTGATGTATGCACTAGGCCTAACATACAGATCAGTTTCTCCAGCAACTGTTGTTACTTGTACAATCTATTACATGTACAAATTGTCATTTTCAAAAGATACAATTACATACAATGTATGCAATAAGAGACAAATGTATTTTGATATATCAATTTTGATGAAATACAGTGTATAAATCTTGTGTAAACTTTAGATAAAATGTTTAATTTGAAATAAGATACAATATATATGATTAGTGAGTTATTGAGTAGTTTTTATTATTTAATAAATGAAGATACAGTGCAAATTTTTGTGATGTTACTAAAATGCATTGTCATATATACTATTGCATGTAAATTTAAAGTACACTTGATAAGATAATTAGATAATATAAGTTCATTATGATATACTGTATTGTAATATAATAAGATAAAATGTATTTGTTTAAGATATGAACTTCAGATACCTATGCACATATATATTAAGATACAATTAGTGTATTTGTTATAAAGATATTATCATGATAAAGATAAATTTATATAATAAAGATATTGTATTATAAGATAAAGATAGCCCATTCTGATACTATCACAATGGGATATCTTTATCGTAATTCAATATTTTTGACAAGATGCATTGTATAATAAAGATATAATGCATTTGTGATATATAAATGCTATGCGAATGTACCTACTATGATAATAAAGATTTGTAAAATAGAATGATACCATAGATTATGAAAAAGGTATACAGTCTATTACTAGGTATTACTAGCTAGGCATTGAACAAATAATGACCCCTGTTACACCTCAAAGACAACATTATGTCTTTTTCATAAAGATGCATTGTATATTTTATGATAAAGATACAATGTATTGTGATAGATTAATTGTTCTTATTCAGGCATGTACACAGGATAACATTGTTTTCTAAACTCATTTCTTCTATGACATGTTTTAATAAACAGTAGCCTAATGCCTTTGTCCTCAAATTCTACCTGATCATCAAATCTTTTCTTTCTTTTTTTCAGATATGAAAAATTCTGATCAAGATAAATACAATGATATGAAGTAAATGCGGATGACAAGGAGACAAGATTTTACATTTAACTCAGCATTGAGCCTCTACAGTAAAAAGACGCAGTTGGTTTGACTACTTATCTTAGGTCTCCATTAAGTGATAAGCTACTTACATATATATGAAGTCAAGAATATGGTTTCAATTAAAAAATGTCTCATGAGACAGAAAGCACTACAAGACAATCCTTAAATCAAAAAAACCATTAAAGACAGTTTAGGATTTTAATTAAATTAAATTAAATTAATTAATTAAAATGAGTGTTACTCTCTTTGATATCTAGATGCCATCAAATCAAGATTTATTTAAAGCAGCATTTCAAGGAAATCTCACTTTTTTCAAAGAACTACAGAGTTGTGATGTAGGCAGCCATGACACATGGTTGACCGTCACATACCCTAAATCAGGAGATAATCTCCTTCACTGTGCTGCGAGGCTAGGACATGTGCACCTGTTGAAGTTTCTCCATGAAGCTGGGGCCAATTTAGAGCTGCCAAACTTTGATGGGAAGAGGCCACTACATGAGGCAGCACAGGCCGGGCATCTTGACTGTGTCAAGTACTTGCTGTCACAAGATGTGTCTGTTGACTCATTGAAAAGGGCCGACTGGTGAGTCGATTTATATTTTTTTTTCCACCTACCAGTACTGAAATCAGATAAATTTAAAACATGAGTGTCAATATAAATTTACGATGGAACTTAAACATTTCATGATTTGTAAATATTTTTCCATGAGACAATGATAAAACTGCCACTGATCAAATGCAAATGATCTTGAGTATTTCTGTCCATATGAATGCTGACAAAAAATATGGAATCATAATTCATGGAGATAAATTTTTTCAGTGCAAAATCAAATTTTAACCAGAAATAGAGTATTGCCATTATTATATTTATGAAAAACTTCATTAAGATCAGACGAATGGAATATATATAACCATTCATTTTCAGTTTTCTAATTATTAAATATAATGTGAAAATTTGTCCTAAATTTCCCCATATAGGACCCCTCTGATGTTGGCAAGTGTAAAGCTTGATCAGAAGGTGATACAAGTTCTCATCCATTCCGGAGCCGATCCATGTCTCAGAAATAAAGATGGATGGAACAGTTTTCATCTCGCTTGTAGGTATGTTTTAAAGTGTTGTTTTTTTTACATAAGAAAATGCCTTTTGTGTTATCATTGAAACTCTTAATACTAAAGAAGAAGAGGTTAAAATGTTGAAAGCTAGCATTGATTTCAGGATAAACATTTTAATTTTTTGTTCAAAATTATTGTATTGGCCAAAAAAGGATATCATCAAAGCTTGTATATAGTTGTAAATGCATTGTATTGATCAGCAAATTATATTTTAAATAAACTTCTAAATATTTAATGATTTTAAAGTTTATTTTTTTCTGCAGACTTGATCCAATTTGATTTTTTTAACACTAATTGAGTCATCAAAGTTTCTGTACAAAGACAATTTGTATTTCTTCGTTGATTTTTTTGTTTATTGTAACAAGTTTAGAGATTAACTCATTCACACCTAGAGACGCATTTGAACTCTTCCAATTCAAAGGTTGGAAAATTTCATGATGAAATTTCAGGGAAGAATGAGTAAAATATGTTTGATACATTATTCTTTGAGATTGTCATGTATATTTTTGTTCATGTGCTTAATAACATTTCAATTGTTAATAAAATTTCAATACTGGATAAAAAAAACCCATTATTTTCTTTTCTAGAGAAGGAGTCCTTTCCATTGTCAAGTTTTTTCACAATTGCAATGGAGACCTGGGGGACACTGTCAGCAAGAATGGGAGAACACCCCTTCATACTACAGGTGGGAGAATCGTTACAGCTCTTACTTATGTTTGTAGTATGCAAATACATGTATGTACAGTATATATGCACCTATCAAGAATGAACTATTCCACATTTCTCTGTGTTGATGTATAAAACAGCTTAGTTTTTATGATAACCACAACACTTGATTTGAACAGCTTACTTCTTGTCTGACATCATGGATACAAATCCCTATAAATGAAAAAAAGTTTGGGTAGGATTAAGGAATTTTTGTATGCTCTAAGGGAGATAATTTTGCAAAAGCTTCTGGAAAAATATTTAACGAAACAATCAAATCTGATTAACATTTTTTTGAAAATTATGAAACTTAAAACAATTTCAAAAATTTGGTTTGAAGTAGCTAGTAATGTGTATATCTCCTTCTCTTAACTCAAAATGAAGCCAAATTAATTTGTTAACACTTAAGTATGTGTGTCACTGTTAAAGAAAGGGAATTCCAGTCAAGAGAACAATCACATGAGTAAGGCCAGGCAAATATATACTTATGTTTCCTGTAATTGCCATCCACAAAAAATAGCAGGTTGGGTAAGTCTTATTTCTGCCAAGCTGGACTCTGTGTATCTATAATCTAAAGCCATCTTTAACTCTCCTCTGTCTACAGCTCTCCATGGTCGTTATGAAGTCGCCTCATTTCTACTGGAGCATTGTGGGTATTCAGTGGATATGAAGGACAGCTGCGGAAGTACACCATTCATGGACGCCATGCGCTCTGGTCATGTGAACGTTGGCCAACTTCTTTTTGAGAAACAGCAGGTCTGTTTATTAACTAAGCATACACTGAAATCAAATTAATATTGATGATCATGTACAGAACAATTGATTAAACTTACTTCATTATAACAAAATAAAACTTTATAAAACTAACTTCATATAAAACTTTATAAAACTTACTTCATTATAACTAAATAAAACTTTATAAAACTTACTTCGTTATAACTAAATAAAACTTTATAAAACTTACTTCGTTATTACTAAATAAAACTTTATAAAACTTACTTCATTATAACTAAATAAAACTTTATAAAACTTACTTCGTTATAACTAAATAAAACTTTATAAAACTTACTTCATTATAACAAAATAAAACTTTATAAAACTTACTTCATTATAAATAAATAAAACTTTATAAAACTTACTTCATTATAACTAAATAAAACTTTATAAAACTTACTTCATAATAACAAAATAAAACTTTATAAAACTTACTTCATAATAACTAAATAAAACGTGTGGTTATGGTTTTACTTTTGCTATTACAAAGTAATTTTACCCTTTAACTTTTAAAGCTACTTTTTAAGAAGCACAGTAAGAAAGGGTTTTGTTCAGAATATTATTATGCAGAATTTCACTGAACATCTGGTTGGATCTAATTTTGCCTTGTGAAAGGTAACAACATTTAACTATTGGCCTTTATTTCTGCTGGTAGTATAAGTTTGTTTAGTCATTTGGTGGATATCAGGATTTCTTGGATACTAGACCGAGATATCCGCATTTCTGGCGGTGCTAGACAATTTTATCCGACCCATGGGTCTGGATCGCTTACACCCGCAGACTGGTGGGCGAATTATAGTGACCTTTCAGGGTCACGCTATTGTTCGTGACATTTTACGATGTTTTGGGGTCAGACAGTGTCATTGATGTCATTAACAATTGCCATCCGGGCTTCATATGCAAATGATAAATGTGCCGGACAGTTTACAACTTTTCTACAAAAGCAGCTGTTTAAAAAGAATCCGTCCCTGATGTGAGGTACGGATAAAGAAATTCCAACCCTCGGGATAAAATATTGAGCAGAAGACCCTCGGCACAGCCTCAGGTCTCCTGCTCAATATTTTATCCCTTGGGTTTGAACTACCTTAAATATACCTTACATCAGGGATGGATTTTATTAATCTACAAAATCTGTATGTTAAAATGAAAATTGGAAGTTGATGGTAGCATCAATGTCTCCTACCTTGTTTTTTCTTGGTAATAAGTTTGTGGTTACTTTACTTAACTAGTGTATGATCTTATTTAGGCAAGGTCCTGCTTTTGGGTAAATTTAAAATGATAAATTACATGACAGTGGCCAAAAAAAGTGATATTAAGCAAATCCACATCAAAACAAGTGATAAGAACAGAATGGAATCTCATAGATTATATAGCAGGAAAAACAGTGCATGAAGAAAACATGATAATAACCAAAAAGTGATATTAAGCGATCTGATATTAAGTAAAATGTACTATATATTTTTTTTTTTTTTCAACATGTAGGCCAGTGTGGATGTTGTGGATAATGTTGGGTTCCAGTCCATCCATCAGGCAGCCCAAGCCGGCCAGGAGGGGTCTGTTAGGTACTTGGTGGAGACCAGGGGTTTGGAAGTGGACACGCTGACCACAGCAGGCTCCACAGCTTTGGCCGTTGCTTCCAAGGTCAGTCCCTCTAGATCTGCTAAGGAATATTTCTGTTTTTGAGGCAAATGTTTTCCATTTCAGATTAGTGGTTGAAATCGAAGGGGCGTTGTAAAAGTCCTCAAACCCCAAGGTCCAATACATTATTCACATATACATATATGGACCGTTGGGTTGGGGGATCTGTGCCACGCCCCCAGTGGGTGTAACTTCTGTGTTATCTTTGTACTCTGTCGTTTAGCTGCACTTTGAAATTTGGCATTTAAGGTTGAATAAATTATAAATTTACCTGTATGAATGTATTAGAATTAGATTTTGAAAAATAAACTGGATTGTAAGTTGAAGTGGTTCACCTTTATGACTTCCTTATTTTCCTGTAAGACAAGGATAAATACACCATTGTGACATCATAACCATAATGTTGGGTGCATTGTACAGTACTGGCTGTTACCGGTGAATTCATCGAAAATGTTCATAGCTATAGATCTATTATCCAGATCAAGATTGCAGAAAAATACAGTAATACTTGTTGGCATGTCAATACAAACATGGGTGGTCAGGTGGCACAGTGGATAGAGCACTTGCCTTTCACCAAGGGGGTGGGGCGAGTTTGATTCCCTAACCGGACATGACAAGGTTTGGGGTCACCTGCCCAATCACATTGGTTTTCCCCAGGTACTCAGGTTTTCTCCAAGTTTACCACCCCTTCACACTAACATCTATGCCAACAAGAGTTATTTATATTTTAAAGTTGAAATAACCTGTTTCATAATTGTTGTAAAATGTATAAAGTTTATGTATAATGCAAACATGCATTACTGAATTTGTCTGTCAGATGATCAGACTATTCCTATGAACAGGATGTAGTTTTAGGCTCTAAAAACATGTTAACTTTAATAGGAAGGACAGCTGGCGGTACTGGAGTGTCTATTGGGAGCTGGAGCTAAAGTTAACAGTGTAGATACCAAGGGAAGATCAGGTGAGGATGATATTTTAGTTTTCAACACTCTATAACATTAGTTTATAGCCAGCATAAATGATTATACATCAACCTGCTCCTGTACCATATAAGATTCTGCTTGTCCTCCAATCCTCTATAGAATTATACATTTGTATCATGCTGACTATGATATGGCGCTTGACAAAAGAATGTGCTTGTATTGAAAGCTATTACATTACGGGAGTAAGTTTACTTCATTAAATCATATTCACAGTACTTTTTCCACCCCTCACAGTGGAATTATCCTATGTAGCTAACTGTGTAGAAATGTTAGCACTCATGATAAAAATATTATAATTAATTAATTACATAGAGCCAAATGTAAAACTGCAGTGAATAAGTAACTGTTTTTTTTAAAGGTTTTTAATACATTTAAAAAGTACTATGTTTAGTGGAATGTTTTTGTACAAAAATGCAACATCCTACCAAGAGTTACCTTCCCTTACGTGTATATTTTATTTCTACCATGTGTTTTGTAAATTCTTTCAGCCCTTCACATCGCCAGCGGTGCCCAGCATGCAGACTGTGTGAAGGTGTTACTGCATCATGGTGCAGTGCTAGCACCTGATGGTGCAGGTAAAACACCGGAACAGCTTGCAAAGAAGGACAATGTCATCCAAATGTTTAAAGAACATATTTCTAATTTAGATGAGTCATAATGCTGCCATTTGTCATATAATATATTTTAAATGTTCGCAAAGGGCTATTCCAGATATAGATATAGGGGTGGGACATATAAATGATAATATACGTGGACGATAGGGTTTTAACATAATTGTTAACATTTATATATAATACAACAGGTAATGAAATTTGAATGGATAAGTAGGAGAGGATGAAATGACAGTGACGAAAATGTGCATGAATGTAAAAATGTGTTATCAAATAAACAAAATATAAAAACTTTTTTGAACATATCTTTTTAACAAGGGCCTGAAGGCCAGGTCTTGCAATGCTCACATGGACAGATTTTTTGGTGTGAAATAACGATATTGTTTGTAGATAAGATGAACTTTACATCTGAAAAAATTCTGTGACTTGTACTGTAAGTTGCATAATGATCAAGCTTGTTTCTTTATGCACACACACTTGCTATTACATGCTCTCATCCTCGTTATGTATGTCTTCATACCTTTCTAAAACGTTATGTCTCTAGACCTCAAACGTTTAAAGATAAAGTTGGTTGAAGATTTTAACATGTGACCATTGAGTAGATCAAGACCATTTATTTGAGGACACTTCACAAAACTCCACCCTAGGTATCTACCAGCCAAATTGTATGACTCTTAATCTGAGGAATTTAAGAACAAGATATCCCAGAGAGATCTCGGCACCGACCATCGTACTATCTTCAAATAGTTCTATGTCAGTTCAATCTTTCTCTTCTTTACTCTTATCTGTTTGATTAGTTTGCCTGACAGCCATCTTGTTCCTCTGATCAGTCTCAAAAGTTAACATGTACCACAAGGGACTAAGGGGAACTTACAGATCCAATTTGCGAGAGATCCCTCTGGTACGTTCTGAGAAATGGAGCTAACAAACTTCATCTCTCAAGTTAAAGATGGCTGCCCGTCCGCCATCTTGGTCTGGTGATCAGTCCCAAAATTCTATATGCAAAACAAACAAGGGACTATGGGAAACCTTCATGTGAAATTTGAGAAACATTCCTACAGTACTTTCTGAGAAATGGCTACCTATCGGCCATCTTTATATTGTGTGATCAGTCCCAAAATTTGATATGCATACCTATGCACCATGGGGAACCTTCACAGGAAATTTGATAACGATCCCTTTGGTAAGTTCTGGGAAATAGCGCTAACAAACTTTAACTCTCAAATTCAAGATGGTTTGCTGTCGGCCATCTTAGTTTAGTGATCAGACCTAAATTTGATATGCATACCTATGCACCATGGGGAACCTTCATATGAAATTTGATAAACATCCCTCTTGTATGTTTTGAGATAAATAGCTCTAACAAACTTTAACTCGCAAATTAAAGACGGCTGCCTGTCGACCATCTTTGTTTTATGATCAGTCACCAAATTCGATATGCATAATATAACTAAGCACCATGAGGAACCTTCCTTTGAAATTTGAGAATGATACATACCATTGGTACTTTATGAGAAATGGCGCTAACAAGAATTGTTTAAGGACCGACGACGGACCACGGACGCCGGGCGATTTGAATAGCCTATAACTACCATCTGATGATGGTGGGCTTTATATATCATGTTGACTTTTGACCTTTGCTGGCACTCAAAGTTCCCCTTTAACCTCAACGAAATATACGAGAAAATGACTCACACAGCTGGTTTAAATAACCTACCATAGAACAATGGTCCTTGACCTTGTGATTCTTTTACATAATGTTGTTTGACTATTTTTTATAACATATTTGACCATGATGTAGACCTAGGTGGATTCTTGAGGATAGTTTATAGCACTCCATCCAAAGTAGCTTCTGACAACCTGAAGGACAAGAGATCAGGTCTAGTTACCAGATTACAAGGTCGGTATCCGTCGTCAACCTTTGCTTTAAGCGACTTCTGCAGAACCATAATAATGTTGTTAACAGATCTGTAATAATGTAGTATATACATATATCTTTAAAAAAGATGAATTTTAGACTTAATATGTCACAACGGTAAACAAAAATAAATTATATTCAAATAAATTACATTAAACGAAATCAGAATCACAGGGGAAAAGTTTGTCAAAAATATCTACAGAACCGTGAGCTTGCATTTATATATGGCTTGTATATTGTAATTTCGTTGGATTAAGGGTTTCAGCCTTGTTCAAATGACATCGGTGGTCCTTTGTCACATGGATCACAACTGTTAAACTTATACCCCCCCCCCCCCCCCGATTAGTTATACAGAACGGAGACCTAGTCATAGTCTGGCTGGATGGAGTCGATGGGTATATGGGTATAAAGTTTTGTAATTAATGACGTTTAACCACATTCAAAATGACGGATCAAGGTTGGAACACGGATGTGTTGGCATTTTGATTGGTTAACATAGCGCATTCATGAAGAGAATTCTGGTCCATAGAACAAGCTCATGCGTTGCGACGAGTTAAGAGCAGTGTCATGTAAACTCTGAACATTAGAGTCTTGTACTGTGTCCACCAACAAAGAGGGGGTTATACAAATATGCAAGACCACACACTTGTGTTTTTCTAACGAATCAGAAAGCACGAGTGTATTGCGCGGACGAATATATTCACGAGTGAATATATACGTCCGCGCAATAAATGAGTGCTTTTTGATTCGTTAGCAAAACACAAGTGTGTGGTCTTGCTTTTATCACATGCCTCCCATATTTGGTAGAGATCGATACAAAGATTTTATAAACTTTGATATTTTTTGCAAATACCAGGAACTTTTCAGTTCGCCATTACAAGGGAATTCCCATAAAAAGTAGATCCGGCTAGTAGGTAAATACAACATTCCGTATTGCACATGTGCAATACAGAACGTCGTATTTCATGGTTTGAAAATTGCTTGTATTACTATAACAAGATTCAACAGGTATGTGATAAATTATAATACTGTTAGTGAGTGTGAAACTTTATCGTTTGCCGTATAGTTTTAGTGAGGTGAACATTGTTGTAGTGTAGGTATTATTATACCTCATATGTATAACAACATCTGATCGGATTATATCGATCACATGACAGGGCATTACAAAATCGTCTCGCCTTCACCCGTTCTTATTTCCCATATTCGGAGCATCTGCAAAAAATAGGCAAAGCCGCCACAACCGAGCTCCGAGTGACCCTGTACTTTGGCTTATAGTTATATAGTTACCTGGAAGCTTACATGCAATTTCATAATCTTAATATATGCAGTCGAGGACCATGCTAAAGTACGGGAGAAACGGGAAAACGATAGGTCGAAAACATGTTTTGAATGGGTTAAATCTATTTGGCATGTTTTACATTGTATATATTTGAATATCTACGTCAAGTAGGCTACGTATGTCAAATCATTTTTTGACGTACGTTGCCGTCGAAGAATGTAGCCCCAAAAGCTGACAAAGCTTATAACAATACTGTCTCTGCCGAAGTGTTCTCCATCATCAATCCAAAGCAGGAAACTCCCCGGATTCCTAGAATTAAATTCCAGTAAAATTTCGAAATTCTTCATATTGTTTTCAGCTCCATTTTTAATGCCAATCGTAAATCATGCCCCAAAGATTGATATAAATTAGTTGTTTTCTATCTTTAACCGGAAATTGCAGATTGCAGATGAAAAACAACTTTATTGTTTAACATCACAATGCTCGCAAGGCAAAAACATCAACGACGATACTATCAAATTGATACTTGATTATGGTGACAGCACTTTTTGAAAATTTGGTTGAAGAACATTTCAACAGTATACATTGAACAAGGATTATCACAGAAGGAAATATTATATGCTTCTCGAATGTTTTGTTGTTTTATCATTAATAAAAAAAAACCTCTGGACTACACTCCAATGCATGTTTGTTTGAAAAAAAATATAAATGCATCACATTACAAATTTCTTTGTCTGTATATTTACACTTAACTATATATTAGTAATTGTCATAACTCGAGAAAAAAGTAGCGTTACAAAGGAGTTTTTCACAGATGGAGAGATTTAAAGATATTTTTAGGAAAATGAAAAGATTTAAAGACATTATTAAAAACTGAAAGAGAAAAAAACCGAGATGGCAAATTGAACGTTTTCTGTACCATATTTGGAAACCGCCATGCTAAACGTCAAGTTTATATATCTAAACACGAAACCGTATATACTGTTAAGCCATGCCTCAATTTACACCAACCACGATTGTTATCGGACAACGTTCGTCCATCATGTGCAAGCAATAATCGTCCAGATTTTTATCGTTCGGACATGGTTTGCACATCGAATATTGTGAAACGTTGTGCGATCCCCCAACTGTATCTTCCTATAAGTCCAAGGAAGTACAGTGTACATAGGTCACCAACAATCATGGATACGGTGTACTAGTTATTAATAGATTTCAAGGTTGGGAATCAGGTCATCATTACCACGTGATACCACGATTTTTAGTGCATTTATATTCTAATCCCCCTTGTAGGAAACTCTGGGTAAACGCAGTAATGAATCTACCCTTATCTGAAACAGACTGTTCAGCGTTCATATTTGGAAACACAAAGTTGCATGAAAGCGGAATTCACTAACAGACATAACACTGTATAATAACAAATATACTCGAACATTAAGAATGCTTGTTTATTTACTTTTACTTAGGATGCACGGTAGTCTAGTGGTAGGACGCCGGCTCGTGACCGAAGGGATGCAGGTTCGAGTCACGGCACGGCACTGTGTTGTATCTTTGAGCAAGATACGTTACTCCGCTTGTTCCAGTCTTCTCAGCTGTAAAAAAGTACGTGGTTGGGCAGTGCTAGAATTGTAGAATGCTAGATGTGAGCGCCGAAATGGCAGCACCGATTGTATGCTCCACATGGAGTTGTAAAAGATATATTGGCTGATTGCAAAGGCCCTATAAACACGGATAATAATTTGTGAACCGCTTTGAGACGACCTACGAACAAGGTTGTGATAAAGCGGTATATAAGAACCTCGAATTATTATTATTATTTATCATGGTTCGAATATCTGAATACTGAAGATAAGTACCAACGATATAATGTCAGAAATGTGGGATATATTTATTCGTAGAGAAGACGTTCGTACGGAAGATAGCCCCTACAGTCGTGTGCGCCACACATACACTGTTTGGAAGAAGTAGGAGGCCCTACACTACCGGAGTTGGTAGTCGAACTAGCGTGTCCATAGTCAAAAGTAAGTTCCGTTAGAGAGGGAATCTCCTTGACAGCAAACAAACATAGCTTTGGTACCATCGAGTTGACTCTCACAGGTACCATCGACAGATTTGGGGAACAAGAATGGTTAATATAACGTCCAATGTTCCCACGACATGACGGATCCACGTACGTTTCCATGACACCGGTCCGATGGTGCTCCTTGACAACAATGACATAGTTCATGTCATGCTCAGTTTGGCGCTTTGTTCGCTGTTTTGCCTCTTCAAAAGATAAAATCTCACCAGCGTATTCACAGACAAAGGATCCTGGATCGATGCTTTCGATTGTTCTCAGGCCAAGCCCTTTTGTTTCAGAACGGAACACTTCCATTTTAAAAGATATTCCGTTCTGAATTAATCTGTTTTGACAGTCAGCTGTACACGTACACTGAGTATTACATTCAATGATTGGCACCATGTTTTTACCATCAATGACTGATAAAAGTATTTTTCCATCGTCATAAACCGTGCCATATTTGGCGATGCACGAACACGTTTCGATGCATAGTCTATTTTCACATTTGCAGCCGAGGATTTGGGTTTCAAAATCGTCCATGTCACAGCCGGGGCCTGGTATATTTGTCTTCACATACTGAAATGTACAAGTTATTTATCATTAAATCCTTTACATATATATGCTTACACATTAACTTAGCATTATAGGGTTATGCAATAGTGCCTAGTGTTAATACGCGAGGTAAATATATCGTAACATTATATATTTCCGGCATGACTATATTATAGTTATAGTCATGCCGGAAACATACTTTGTTACAGTTAGGCAGTGGTACGGGAATTCTGAAGTCGACATATATTTACACCATAATCAACAAGGACGGACGGCTTACTACTTCATGTAAACCTTATGATAAAGCCAAATAAAAATATGTTTGTGTTTCCTGTTTCGGCTCCAAAACATTAGGGTATAGGGTAGGTAGGTAGGAAAAACTTTTTTTTTTTCTGGTCAAGAAAATCTCCTGATAACCTCCGACAACCAAGCATGTTAAAAATATATTATGGTTTTAATAAAGTATGAATGGCACCAAATATATAATGTTTTATTCATGTAAAATAAATACACAAAAAAATTACCTACCTAAATGTTTATGGAATGACCAACGTAATTTCAAGGTTATTGGTGTTTTCAATTTGTTCAAATTAATTGAGCAACAAAATAAGTACATTAATATTAACTCTTTTTTTACAGCACAAGTATTTTAATTCGTCATAACATATATAACTCTTCACCATTGTGAACCCAATCTCTCAACTCTAAACTTATCTTCATCTATAAACTGTAAAACTACACAGATCTACAAACAACAGCTAACACCACTAGTATTACTAACTTCCTAATTCTCACTCTAACTTTCTAACTCTCCTCTATATCTCTAGACCTCTTAACTCTGTCTCCCTAACTAAACCTCCTTCCTGAAGACTCCTTAACTCAACTTCCCAACCCAGCTCTCGATCTCCTATAATCAGACTTTACCTTACTATCTGTTCATTAGCTAAATCCTGCTACATTAAAAGTGTTGATATATTAGAATTGTTGATGCTGCTGAAATCCTGCTAAAATTTGATCCCTATACGACTAGGTAAAACTGGCCATAAATCTTTCTAAATTTGACCCCGGCAGTCAGCACCAACCGGAGGCACAACATACACTGACATCACAGACTGAATCCCCCACCTACACACTACAGACAGTCACACTAATCTATAGATCCAAACCTATATCATAAGCACAATTATCTACGGCTACTTAGCTACTATCTTCAAATAAAACTCTGACACTGACCACGAGGCAAGGCTAATATAATACATAGCAAATAATATGTACACTTTGAACAATTAAACGGCTAATAATTATATAACAGACAGTAACTGTGAAAATCAATAAAATGTTCTAGGGTCGGCATGAAAAAAAAGGGTCGGTCGGGAAACGGGAAACACAGCTTTATTTTAATTTGGCCTTATCTTATCTAGAAGTTTCCCTTTCTTGATAGTAGCATTCCTATTTAAAACACTTGCGGTGTTTACGTACTGCAGTTGATTATAAAGTCGTCGGCTTGCTCCGAGTTTTGTAAAATATGTTCGCATGCTGACAGACAAGCTATCAACGCATGCTTTCGAGAGAAGACGGTTGATGAAGACTATGAGCAAGATTGTTGCTTTTTTGGCATTTGATCTATATTTAGATTGCAAGTGTCGTTAGTGAAAGTTATGTTAACAGTCTTTTCGGAACATTTGCTCATATTCTCATTGGTTCGGGTATCCGCGTAAATCTTCTCATGGAAAAGCTTTGTTTTGTTCAGATTTATGGTACGACAATCCTTGATGGGACTCTATGTAATTGCAGAAAAAAAGTTGGTTCGTGTCTGCAGGCTTTTGTGAACATTGCACATTATGATTCAACCGCATGACATGCTCTCAAACGTAAACAACGATTGACCATCGACATAAACTGTTGACACTTTGCAAACACTTGATCCCAAAACGCTATACATTGAAAACGACAGAAGACTTTACCGCGGGACTATTTTGTCCACTTAGGACATCTCAAGTTTGTCTTAAATAATTGATTTTGCTTTCTAATTACGGTAATGTTTACACTTGGGTATCCTCTTGTGTTCGACGTTTTCATTCTTTTGCCAGTAACTTGGATCCAACGACCGTTCCGACAGGTACAATGTAGAAAGAACAGTTTAATACCTATGTTTGACAAGCGTCCTAGTTCTCGTTGATGATTCAGCACGCTTTACTCTCATGTTCGGTCGATAAAGACAAAAATAACATCTTATGGAAATACAATATCAGGTGATTTTTGTAGACTATAGATGCAAGTTTATATCCTTAACAACTTCTGTCTACTGCTTTATTTCAGTTAGAATTTATCCGTTATTGTTGTCCTAATTTAGTTGGAATCACCTTTGAAAAAAAAAAAAATGTATAACAAAAATAAAACTTTAAAAAAATCAACTCTATTGTATATAACAATTCACATGGCAATTATTGATTGACTTCAAACTTATTCTCATCATGCGTTTTTACCAATTAAATGTTTGAAACTTCTTAATTTTCAGATGAAGGATACGTCAGATATACGATGTATACATGTACATTCCTGTAGAAACTTGCGACCAAGTTATGGCGCGAGACAATGTCGGCTTCGATTCACTAGTCTTCAGTACCTTGTTGTAAATCTACTTAACGTCACAATCACCGTGATTACTTTACAGAGAGTGATAAAAGAACAAAGGACAAGACCGGTGATTGTAAATCAATTGTGCTTAGCTGCTTTAACTAATTGTAAGTTATTACTCTGAAGTCGCAACCATAATGATAGGCATTGCTCAGTTTTACTGTCACTGAAATGTCGGCGGGGGTGATAATGGCTCTCAATATAGATTTTTACATAGATCAGGAGCTGAAGGTTTAGTGGGAGTTCAAGAAAGCCGCTGTCTTTTCGTGCAGACGTAACGTTAAATATGAGGGTACGGATAGACGTAATGTTCATCACTCGAAAGGTCATTATGACTTTTGTTTTAGAATTGATGGACTTTAAGTAAATTTTAAAGGGAAAAAACACATTTGTGTTGTAAAAGCAATATTAGCCAAAAAGGAAAGCTATTGCCATCCATTAACTAGAAACAGTTTCACAATACTTTTCGATTGATTTGATTTATTTACGGAAAATTACATCAAACGAAGCAAATAATGTGTAAATGATGAGGGGGTAATTCAACAAGTAGGATTAAAACATATATCTATGTGACACAAGGTGCATCATTTGACTTAGATTTACGTAATATAAAAAGAATGTCACTAACTACTTTTAAAACTGCTTCCCACTTATTTTCTTTCATGTTTCATTATTGAAAAGATAAATATACTAAACATTATTTTCTACGATCAAACACGTCTAAAACTTCCATAAACAGCACAAGTGAATTCAATTTTCAAAGATATATGCTTGAATTGAAAAAAGGAAAAGAAGATTTGTCAAAATTGTGAGCCTACAATCATGCCATCATATTAGACCTAACACTTCAGCTGCCAGCCCATTCGATCAAAGTGTAGCAAATAGTTACACGCATGAGTATTAATTGTACGTGCCGAGTTTAGAGAAAGCTAAAATTACACATGCACCTTTATACCAGAACACTGCTCTAGAATAACGAATCGACAATAACATTTTTACACTTACATACTTAAGGAAAGAAGGTTAACGATCGTGAAATTAAAGTGTCACGTTATCAAAAAGTTCAGTAATGACATGTTTAGTATTGTCATACTCTAAGCCACGGTGTCTAGGCACATGTCAAGATCGCTGACGTGTAGGAGCCTTTGGTAGATCAAGCTAGCATTTTTTTAAAGTTTTCTTTTTATCTGAGCGACGAAGCGTTGTTCATATTTGAATTTTTATTGCATCAAATTAGCTGCAGAGTGATACAGTACTGACCGACTTTAAGTTAAGATGCCTTTGAAATACCGATAGTCTTTTGGAAACAGGAGGACAAAACCACACAGTTACAACACAGTGCCGTGACGTGACTCGAACCCGCAACCGGTTAGGAGGAAAACAATAATTTATTGACGTAAAAGAAAAAAAACAAAACACTCTTGGAATCTCATCATAAGACGTATCAAAATGTCTTTGTAATTTAACAAGGTTCATATTAACAATCATGGTAATTGACTTGAATGTATGTAACATAAAACGAGGATCAATATATACTTTCTACATCTGGTTCCCGTTGAATTTCGATAGTGATTAACTATTGAAAAAATAAAAACATTAGATATTTTAATTGGGATTAATTACGTGTAAAAGTTCCGTAAATTGCACTAGTGAAATAGATTTAAAAAACTTGGAATTCAGATAGCCAGCATAATAGTCCAAACAATTCACTGTCAACCCATTTTCGTATTTCACTCCATAAATAGTAGCGAAGCTGAGTATGCACTGTTCACGTCGAGTCTTAAGAAAGCTAAAATTATATTTACAGCCAATTATGGCTTGGACACTACTCTGGAATAAAAATCAACTATGACATTTTAACACCTACAGCTGGAGAGGTTGATATTTTCTGCTACTAAAGAAAAGAAATTTAACGTTCAGTAATGATGTGTTCATTATTGTCAACTACAGGCAAATGTCAATATATCATTGCTGACGTTGATGAGCCTTTGGTGTCTTTTTATTTCCAGTTCCTAAGAAATATACAAGGAGGTAGTTTTTGAAATTTCCTGTTTTTCTGCGACAAAATTTAACGATGTTTCTAGAGGTCCAATTAGATGACTAGGTTATACCCTCATTTTTATTCTTTATAATCTCTCTTCATTAAATGAGGTTTATAATAACGCAATCCTGATTGGCTTGAAGTTAGATCCCATCAGAATACCGACAGTCTTTTGGAAATATTCTTCCAACACAAATAAATGTCAACAGCAATGTTTTCAACATAACACGAGAACAAAGCCCCCATTAGATTGCCTTCTCTTGATACCAATGGAATATTAAACACTAGCAGTCTCATCTCTAATGAGCACAGCGCAACTTAATATAGGATTGACATTTAAGACAAA